CTTATTTTTGTAATTATCATATTTTGGTGGTGAGGGGGATACGTTACCTTAACAGAAAGGGTGCCACCGATTGATTATGTGAATTCTTTAAAGGTTGTGTCCGCCCGTGCATTCCACGTGCGGTAGGTTCAATTCAAGTGTTGTTGATCGAGCTGGCTAAAAATATGAAATGAATAATACGCCCTTCTAACACAGTAAAATGCTTAAACCCTAATTAATCTTGTTGGGTTGGAGTGTGGATATCGATCTCAGAGCGATGGATTTCACATTTGTTGGATTTATCGCCAAGCGTGCATGTCGCAAATCACTATATTAGTCATTTCCATTACATTCCGTTTTGGATTTATGGTGGACAGATCTCGAAAAAATATGCGATTTGAAAAAAAAATTGTCCAAAATGGACAACCGAGTCAAAAGTTATGTCTTCCCGAACTTTTAACACTTTACAACGAAAAAATATATATATTTAAACGGCCGAACTGGCCGGCTAGGCTGCCTAGACCGCCTAGCCGCCCGGCCGCGGAGGAGGCCGATTCCGGCTGAATCGTCCGCAACCGTGCGGCGCCTAGGTGCGATTTTTGCAACACTGCTTAAACTTAATGTGGATTGATAATGTTTTCGAATTTTAATTTTTTTTTAAAATTATTTGTGTTTAAGTATGTCAATGTAGTTTTATATTAATATTTTAAACGCTCATATTACAATTTAAAAATAATAATATAATTAATTTTTTGAAAAAATAATAACAAATGTGACGGAATCCCGACAGAATATGAGTTTTGCGATGGAATATTTGTTGCACTAAATGCGACGAAATTGAGACAGAAAATAATTCTATTGCCAAAATGCGACTGAATCGCGACGGAAAAAAATATGGCGACAAAATTAGTTTTGGAATAATTTCCGTAGCCAAAGTGCAACGGAAAAACTTCCGTTGCAAATTTGTGACGTCTTATTCTGTCGCAATATTTTGTGACGGAATTATCCCGTCGCCAACAAAAATAAGATAGGCCGAAAGAAGACATAACGAATTTCGTCGAAAAACGTGATTGGCTACGGAGTTTTACAATTTGCGACGGATATCCGTCGAGATTCGCGATTTTTCATGTTGTGAAACCAAAAAAAAAAGAATAATGGAGGGAAAAACGTGGTCTTCAATAAGGGAAAATAGCCGGTAACCACATTTACACCACTAATAATTCAGAGGAGGGGCAATATATGTCATTTGTTAAAAACTGAGAGCCAATATTTACACCACTAATAATTCAAGGGTGACACTGATAATTGGCAGATTTGTGAGGAGTATAAAATATAAATTTTCCTAAAGCTAATAGTATATCTGAATAGTCAAATATCCACCATTACACCCTCAGCTACCGGTTGGGAACCTCCTCTTCCCTCTCCCAAGGAGGAAGGGGTTTCCTTTCCTAAAGCTATTGGAAATTTAGGGCACAAAAGAGGCAAGGAATGAAGAACAGTGGAGGTGAGTGTTGTAATCAGTGTGGAGGTCAAATGGAAGATCGAAATGAAATATAAAAAGCGGTGGGAATGAAATTAAAGACGTGTTTTATTTAGTTTAGGCGCGTAACTTTTTTTTGTAATTATCATATTTATGTGGTGAGGGGGATACGTTACCATAACAGAACGGGTGCCACCGATTGATTATGTGAATTCTTTAAAGGTTGTGTCCGCTCGTGCGTTCCGCGTGTGGTAGGTTCAATTCAAGTGTTGTTGATCGAGCTGGCTAAAGATATGAAATGAATAATACGCCCTTCTACCACCGAAACATGCTTAAACCCTAATTAATCTTGTCGGGCTGGAGTGTAGAAATCGATCTAAGAGCGATGTATTTCCCATTTGTTGGATTTATCGACAAGCGTGCATGTCGTCAATCACTATATTAGTCATTTCCATTACATTTCATAGTGGATTTGCAGTGGATAGATCTCAAAAAAATACGCGATTTGAAAAAAAATTGTCCAAAACGGACAATCGAGTCAAAAGTTATGCCTTCCCGAACTTTTAACACTTTACAACGAAATTAAAAATTATATTTAAACGGCCGAACCGACCAGCTAGGTGGCCTAGACCGCCTAGCCGCCCGGCCGCGGAGGAGGCCAATTCTGAACGAATCGTTCGCAGCCGGGTGGCGCCTAGGCGCCGATTAACTGGCACCTAGGCGCGATTTTTGCAACACTTCTTAAACTTAATGTGGATTTCTAATGTTTTAGAATTTTAATTTTATTTTAGAATTATTTATGTTTTAGTATGTCATTGTAGTTTTATATTAATATTTTAAAAGCTCATATTACTAATTAAAAATAATAATTATAATTATTTTTTTTTTTAAAATAATAACAAATATGACGGAATCGTGACAGAATGTGAGTTTTTCGATGGAAATTTGTTGCACTAAATGCAATGGAATTGAGATAGAAAACAATTCTATTTCCAAAATGCGACGGAAAAAAATATGGCGACAAAATTAGTGTTGGAATAATTTCCGTAGCCAAAGTGTAACGGAAAAACTTCCGTTGCAAATTTGTAACCTCTTATTCTGTCGCAATATTTTGTGACGGAATTATTTCGTCCCCTTCAAAAATACGATAGGCCGAAAGAAGACGAAACGAATTTCGTCGAAAAACATGATTCGCGATGGAGTTTTACTATTTTGCGACGGAAATCGATCGAAATTCGCAATTTTTCTTGTTGTGAAACCAAAAAAAAAGAAAAATGGAGGGAAAAACGTGGTCTTCAATAAAGGAAAATAGCCTGTAACCACATTTAAACCACTAATAATTCAGGGGAGGGGCAATATATGTCATGCGTTAAAAATTGAGAGGCATCGTTTACACCACTAATAATAAAAGGGTGACATTGATAAATGGCAGATTTGTGAGGAGTATAAAATATTAATTTTCTTAAAGCTAATAGTATATCTGAATAGTCAAATAGCCACAATTACACCCTCAGCTACCTGTTGGGAAGCTCCGCTTCCCTTTCCCATGGACGAAGAAGCAACAGGGGTTTCCTTTCCTAAAGCTATTGGAAATTTAGGGCACAAAAGAGGCAAGGAATGAAGAAGAGTGGAGTTGAGTGTTGTAATCAGTGTGGAAGTTAAATGGGAGATCGAAATGAAATATATAAAGCGATGTGAATGAAATTAAGGACGTGTTTTATTGAGTTTAGGCGCATAATTCTTATTTTTGTAATTATCATATTTTGGTGGTGAGGGGGATACATTACCTTAACAAAAAGGGTGCCACCGATTGATTATGTGAATTCTTTAACGGTTGTGTCCGCTCGTGCATTCCACGTGAGGTAGGTTCAATTCAAGTGTTGTTGATCAAGCTGGCTAAAAATATGAAATGAATAATACGCCCTTCTAACACCGTAAAATGCTTAAACCCTAATTAATCGTGTTGGGTTGGATTGTGGAGATCGATCTCAGAGCGATGGATTTCGCATTTGTTGGATTTATCGCCAAGCGTGCACGTCGTCAATCACTATATTAGTCATTTCCATTACATTTCATAGTGGATTTGCAGTGGATAGATCTCAAAAAAATACGCGATTTGAAAAAAAATTGTCCAAAACGGACAACCGAGTCAAACGTTATGCCTTCCCGAACTTTTAACACTTTACAACGAAATTAAAAATTATATTTAAACGGTCGAACCGACCAGCTAGATGGCCTAGACTGCCTAGCCGCCCGGCCGCGGAGGAGGCCGATTCCGAACGAATCGTCCGCAGCCGGGCGGCGCCTAGGCGCCGATTAACTGGCACCTAGGCGCGATTTTTGCAACACTGCTTAAACTTAATGTGGATTTCTAATGTTTTAGAATTTTAATTTTATTTTAGAATTATTTGTGTTTTAGTATGTCATTGTAGTTTTATATTAATATTTTAAAAGCTCATATTACTAATAAAAAATAATAATTATAATTAATTTTTTTTAAAATAATAACAAATATGACGGAATCGCGACAGAATGTGAGTTTTTCGATGGAAATTTGTTGCACTAAGGGGGGTGTATTCAATCCAGACTTTTAAAGAATTTTAATGACTTTTAACGACTTTCAAAGTTTGGTGGTATTTAATTTCGACTTTTAAAGACTCTTTAAAAGTCTACCTGTATTCGATTCAGACTTTTCAGAAGTCTTTAAAAGTATACAGGTATTCGTTTCAGACTTTTATAGAGTCTTTAAAAGTCTACTGGTATTCAAATATTTATCAACTTTCATAGACTTTATCAGAATAGAATTTCTGTAGACTTTTTCTTCATTAATATAAATAGATGAAATCCGACCCTCCAACCTCAAACTTTTCAATTTTCTCTACAGACTTTTTTTCCTCTATCAACCAGACATCTTTTTCATCAAATTTTCGGTACGTCTATACGTTGTAATTTATTATTATTATTTTTTTAATATTTATGCAACTTTGTTTGCTGCGAACAGCAGCAAAATTCCAAGAATTTTGCTGCGAACAGCAGGGTGTTCACAGCAGATTTTAAATACGCTTATCTGCTGCGAACAGCAGCATCTCTGCTGCTGTTCGCAGCATAAATATTCTATAATTTTTCTTGTAATGAATTGAATTAATATACTCAAATTTTTACAATTTTTTTTATAATTAATATAATTTTATGTTATTATATGTTCATTAATTATTAATATTTGTATTTGTGTTAAGTTGAATTATTTGAGGTTCTTATTTATTTGATAGTAATGGGGGATCAAGAAAGGAGTAAAGGTAAAAGTAAAGTTAATGGAAATTATGCATTATGGGCACCTGAGGAGAGTAATGAGTTGTTACAACTTATGGTTGATGCGATAAAAAATGGATGGCGTGATAGTAGTGGGGGTTTAAGCAAGTTAACTGTGGAGAAGAGGATACTTCCGGCTCTTAATGAAAAGCTTGGTTGTAAAAGATCGTATGCACAATACTAAAGTAGATTGAAATGGTTCAAGCATCGTTTTAACAATTTTTCTGAGCTTATGCGTCATAATTCTGGATTTGGTTGGGATCCAATCACAAAGAGGTTTACTGCTAGCGATGAGGTGTGGGAAGATTATTTTAAGGTGAGATTTTTATATCGTTTAATTAACATAGATGTTTCTTAAATTTTATATTTTAAATAATTTATTAACTATTTTATTTTCCTTTTCTAGTCTCATCCTACTCATAAAAATCTACGGACAGATACGATTGCTGACTATGACGATTTAGCATTTGTATTTGGAAGTAGTACTGCTGTAGAAAAAAACTCTATCGAATTGGGTGATGAAACTGATGCAAGAATCTATAGTGTTGAAGAAGATAATCAGTGTAGAATTGATCAACTACACTTTGATTTTGCTAACGATGGATTTACACAAAATGATATACAAGTAGATTCTCAAGATCCACGATTATCACAATATACTTCATCAGCACCTCAAGAGATAAATGTGGAAGCAACTTCAACAAAGTATTATAAGAGAAAAAGGAATAGAACTGAATATGAAGGAAATAGTAGTTCAACAGAGGAAACAAATCGATCTAATGTGTTAGATAAATTATCTAATACTCTTGATTCGATTGCGGCTGATATCCATATTTTGGTGCAAAAAAGGGAAAAAGAAAGTGGTTGTTGGGATGCTATTAACGAACTCCCTGACTTGGATAGTGATACTTGTTTCAAGGTTTTGGAATGGCTGAACACGAAATCAAAGAAAGATACATTTATAAATATGTCACCCCAAGATCGCTATAAGTGGATAATGTTCAAATTGTCCAAATGAGAGTTCATAGTATTATTATTATTATTAGTACTATTATTAGTTTCATAAATTTTGTTCCATGCATTAACAATATTTGTGTTGGATTTTTTACATGAAGTTTGATAGAATTATTGTTAGTATTACTATTTTTTTTTTACTATAAATTCTTTTACTTACTTTTTTTTAAAAAAAATATTTTTTATTGTTTCATATAAATACTTTTGTTTGTAGGTACTATTTAATACCATTTAGGTGATTGATATATAATGTCAAGCTCTAGTATTGATAGCAATGACGACTTTGAGATGGTTGATGTGGAGGAAGAACAAGTAGATGAAGAAATTGAAGAAGTAGAGTTTTATGAAATCATTCAACGTTTATTGGAAATAATTTCTATGATTATACAAGTATTAAAAGAGGTTATTATTGATAATAATGGTGAACGAATTGAACATCCACTAGCTCGACGACCGATTACTTCACGTGGATACAATTACATACAAAACGTATTGGCTGAAGATTCTGATAACTTTCGGCAAGTATACAGAATGTATCCAAATGTGTTTTTAAAGTTATGTCATATTATAAGAGAGAAAACACTTCTAAAGGATACAAGATACATTACTGTTGAAGAAATGGTTGCAACATTTTTACTAACAGTTGGCCAGAACTCTAGATATTGCCATACTCGTGAAACATTTTATCGGTCACACTTTGCTACAAGTAAGAATTTTAACAAAGTTTTAAAGGCTCTTAACACAATAGCACCTGAGATGATGGTCAAACCTAGTTTCACAGTGCCTACACGAATAAGAGAAAGTACAAGGTTTTACCCATACTTTAAGGTAAGCAATAAATCACCCTATTTGATTAATTATTGTTCTATTTTTTATGCGTGTCATAGATATTCTTATAAATGTGAATATGAAATCATATTTATGTGTTGAATTTACTTTAGGATTGTGTTGGAGCTATTGATGGCACACATATTCCAGCAATGGTAACTGGGCGTGATGTAAGCAGTTATCGTAATCGTCATGGAATAATTTTACAAAATGTATTGGCTGCTTGTAACTTTGATTTAGAATTCATATATGTTCTTAGCGGGTGGGAGGGTTCAGCACATGATTCAAAATTGCTAAGTGACAGTTTATCAAGGAGGAATGGCCTTAAAGTACCACAAGGTCAGTTTAGTTTAGTTTTTTTTTTTTTTTTTTTTTTTTTTAAATAATATTAAATAACTTTACATATTGGATAATTAATATTTTAAATGTGTGTAGGTAAATACTTTTTAGTGGATTGTGGATTTCCAAACCGACAGCAATTTTTAGCTCCATATCGAGGTGTACGTTATCATCTTCAAGATTTTTTCGGACAAGGTCGTGACCCTGAAAATGATGTTGAGTTATTCAATCTACGACATTCTTCTTTGAGGAATGTAATTGAGAGGATATTTGGTATATTCAAATCGAGATTTACGATCTTCAAGTCAGCACCTCCATTCCCTTATAAGACTCAAGCAGAACTTGTACTAGCTTGTGCCGGGCTTCATAATTTTCTTCGCAAGGAGTGTCGTAGCGATGAGTTTCCAATTGAGCTAAATGATGATGAATCTCCTTCACCTTTACCGACGAATGATGTAGATAATTTTGAACATCTATTTGAAACTCAAGAGCAACAACGAGAGCATGCCAATGAATGGAGGGCTAAAATAGCTTTGGATATGTGGAGAGACACCCAACAAGGTGAAAACAATTCCAATCAAAGATAATTGTACTAACAAGATGAATATTTTAATTTGTACTTTTTCATTTTAGACATTTTGATAATTATATTACTCAATATTAGTTGTTTAATTAGTACAAGAAATATTTTTGTTGGTTATATTTAGTGAAAATAGATTATATTAATTGATTAATCTATTTTCTTTATGTATAATATAATCTATTTTTGTGACAATCAATATTTATTTTTTATTTTTTTGCAATGCATTAATTTATTTATGATTTATATAAATATATTTTTGTACGAAAATTATAAATATAATGTATTAGTAGAAGTTATAGAATGTTTGTAAGGGTGTATTCAATTTAGAATTTTAATGACTTTTGTAGACTTTTTAATATGAAAAAGTTTTTAAAAGTCTATAAATGTTTGTCTTATGGATTTTTAAAGACTCTTACAAAGTTGATGAAAGTTTAAAAGATTCTAGGAAAGTCTACGAAATCTCTACAAAAGTCATTTAAAATCCATCACTTTAAAAGTCTTTGAAACTCTTTAAAAGTCTTGATTGAATACACCCCCCTAAATGCGATGGAATTGAGATAGAAAACAATTCTATTTCCAAAATGCGACGGAAAAAAATATGGCGACAAAATTAGTGTTGGAATAATTTCCGTAGCCAAAGTGCAACGGAAAAACTTCCGTTGCAAATTTGTGACCTCTTATTCTATCGCAATATTTTGTGACGGATTTATTTCGTCCCCTACAAAAATACGATAGGCCGAAAGAAGACGGAACGAATTTCGTCGAAAAACGTGATTCGCGATTGAGTTTTACTATTTTGCGACGGAAATCGGTCAAAATTCACAATTTTTCTTGTTCTGAAACCAAAAAAAGAAAAATGGAGGGAAAAACGTGGTCTTCAATAAAGGAAAATAGCCAGTAACCACATTTAAACCACTAATAATTCAGGGGAGGGGCAATATATGTCATGCGTTAAAAATTGAGAGGCATCGTTTACACCACTAATAATAAAAGGGTGACATTGATAAATGGCAGATTTGTGAGGAGTATAAAATATTAATTTTCTTAAAGCTAATAGTATATCTGAATAGTCAAATAGCCACCATTACACCCTCAGCTACCTGTTGGGAAGCTCCGCTTCCCTTTCCCATGGACGAAGAAGCGACAGGGTTTCCTTTCCTAAAGCTATTGGAAATTTAGGGCACAAAAGAGGCAAGGAATGAAGAAGAGTGGAGTTGAGTGTTGTAATCAGTGTGGAAGTTAAATGAGAGATCGAAATGAAATATATAAAGCGATGTAAATGAAATTAAGGACGTGTTTTATTGAGTTTAGGCGCATAATTCTTATTTTTGTAATTATCATATTTTGGTGGTGAGGGGGATACATTACCTTAACAGAAAGGGTGCCACCGATTGATTATGTGAATTCTTTAAAGGTTGTGTCCGCTCGTGCATTCCACGTGCGGTAGGTTCAATTCAAGTGTTGTTGATCGAGCTGGCTAAAAATATGAAATGAATAATACGCCCTTCTAACACCGTAAAATGCTTAAACCCTAATTAATCGTGTTGGACTGGATTGTGGAGATCGATCTCAGAGCGATGGATTTCGCATTTGTTGGATTTATCGCCAAGCGTGCACGTCGTCAATCACTATATTAGTCATTTCCATTACATTTCATAGTGGATTTGCAGTGGATAGATCTCAAAAAAATACGCGATTTGAAAAAAAATTGTCCAAAACGGACAACCGAGTCAAACGTTATGCCTTCCCGAACTTTTAACACTTTACAACGAAATTAAAAATTATATTTAAACGGCCGAACTGACCAGCTAGGTGGCCTAGACCGCCTAGCCGCCCGGCCGCGGAAGAGGCCGATTCCGAACGAATCGTCCGCAGCCGGGCGGCGCCTAGGCGCCGATTAACTGGCACCTAGGCGCGATTTTTGCAACACCGCTTAAACTTAATGTGGATTTCTAATGTTTTAGAATTTTAATTTTGTTTTAGAATTATTTGTGTTTTAGTATGTCATTGTAGTTTTATATTAATATTTTAAAAGCTCATATTAGTAATAAAAAATAATAATTATAATTAATTTTTTTTTTTTAAATAATAACAAATATGACGGAATCGCGACAGAATGTGAGTTTTTCGATGGAAATTTGTTGCACTAAATGCGATGGAATTGAGATAGAAAACAATTCTATTTCGAAAATGCGACGGAAAAAAATATGGCGACAAAATTAGTGTTGGAATAATTTCCGTAGCCAAAGTGCAACGGAAAAACTTCCGTTGCAAATTTGTGACCTCTTATTCTGTCGCAATATTTTGTGACGGATTTATTTCGGCCCCTACAAAAATACGATAGGCCGAAAGAAGACGGAACGAATTTCGTCGAAAAACGTGATTCGCGATTGAGTTTTACTATTTTGCGACGGAAATCGGTCGAAATTCACAATTTTTCTTGTTGTGAAACCAAAAAAAAAAAAAGAAAAATGGAGGGAAAAACGTGGTCTTCAATAAAGGAAAATAGCCAGTAACCACATTTAAACCACTAATAATTCAGGGGAGGGGCAATATATGTCATGCGTTAAAAATTGAGAGGCATCGTTTACACCACTAATAATTCATGGGTGACATTGATAAATGGCAGATTTGTGAGGAGTATAAAATATAAATTTTCTTAAAGCTAATAGTATATCTGAATAGTCAAATAGCTACCATTACACCCTCAGCTACCTGTTGGGAAGCTCCGCTTCCCTTTCCCATGGACGAAGAAGCGACAAGGGTTTTCTTTCCTAAAGCTATTGGAAATTTAGGGCACAAAAGAGGCAAGGAATGAAGAAGAGTGGAGTTGAGTGTTGTAATCAGTGTGGAGGTTAAATGGGAGATCAAAATGAAATATATAAAGCGATGGGAATGAAATTAAGGACGTGATTTATTGAGTTTAGGCGCGTAATTCTTTTTTTTTTTTTTTTGTAATTATTATATTTTGGTGGTGAGGGGGATACGTTGCCTTAACAGAAAGGGTGCCACCGATTGATTATGTGAATTCTTTAAAGGTTGTGTCCGCTCGTGCATTCCACGTGCGGTAGGTTCAATTCAAGTGTTGTTGATCGAGCTGGTTAAAAATATGAAATGAATAATACGCCCTTCTAACACCGTAAAATGCTTAAACCCTAATTAATCTTGTTGGGTTGGATTGTGGAGATCGATCTCAGAGCGATGGATTTCACATTTGTTGGATTTATCGCCAAGCGTGCACATCGCAAATCACTATATTAGTCATTTCCATTACATTTCATAGTGGATTTCCACGGGTTGGACGTGAACTCCTCTCTACCAGAGCTATCAATACAAACCAACATCGACCCATGTAGGCTGTCCGCCACGGTTATTTGTAAAACGGGTCAGGTCCGACCCGGGACATTTTTGTATGCAATGTTGGGAACATGAACCCAACCCATATACTAGCAGGCTAAACAGCTCAACCCGCCAAACTTAGGAAATAGAAACCCTTATGGAAAAAAGTATCTTATCAGTGCTCGTCACACCAATGAATAAATTTTGGGAGTCTATGTAGTATAACTTATTCGCTAAACTTTGGAAATAGAAACCCTTATTTCCCATGCACCCCTACACTAATTTTATATTTCAATTCTCCCAATTAACCTCTACACTAATTAGAATATATATATATATATATATATATATATATATATATATATATATATATATTTCTCGTGTAATTATTTTGAGTTAGGATGAAAACGATTCAAACTAACTTGTTGTAATGATTATATCCAATATGAAATTACTATAAACATTTGTCCAATTTTAGTTACATTTTAAATTCACCTAGCAAAATATCATACTATATTTTATTGTACTTTTAATATCTATTTTCTCATTTAACTCTACTTTAATGAAATAGCCGATTAATTTTATGTAAATTTGAAAATTATTATTAATTTCAACTTGATAATCAATTGTGACATTATTTCAAGTTTTTGTATGAAATTTTTAACTTTAAAATAATTATTATCATACACAAATATTTTTCTTAGTACTATCGTTTTTTTTTTTAGAGGAATGCTACACCACTCTCGTAATATTCACATCCTTATGCGAAAATATTTGAATGGTTTGATTACATTATATTCTTGTTTAATTTGATTAATATGTAAATTCATTTTTTTAAACACAAAGAAGGGTCTACTTACTTAGGATGATCAATAAATAAAAATAGTTTTATTGTTATGTCAGCGGAGAAAACAACAATATTCATTATTTTAATTTTTATTATAAATGCCGTCGAAATTGTTCACTTGCAATCATAGAAATTTTGTATGTGATGATTATGAGTTGTTATTAATTAATTATAAAATTTAAAAATTTTAATTCATTAACATTCCATATTTGAGCACTGTATTGGATCCACCTCACTATTTACACCATCGCATAACTCTTATCCAAATCTAATTTTGAATATATTAAAATGTTGAAACAATTAATAATTTATATGTATGTGGTTCATGTAAAATTATTTATATTTACTTGGATACTAGTTGAATATCGTTTATCGTTCAATAAAATAAATGTCTAATAATACAAAATAGTAAATAATTAATCAACACATCAAGAATAAAACAAAAAATTGTAGAATTTGTAAGTATATATACAATAAAACTGTAGAGCCAGTAGTACTAAAAAAAAATGTACAATAAAATTTTAAGTATAATGTAAATGTATTTTTTTTTTTAAAGGAGGTATAATGTATGTAAATGTTAGTACATTTAAATGTGTTACTCAATGACATTACTAAGTTGGGGAGGAAAAGATAAAAGTAGGGCCTTTTGGTGACCCCATTTGAAACGAACAAGTCTAGAAGGTGGATAGACATATTGATTAATAAGATTTTGAAGATTTTTAAATTTTTTGTGAAAATGTAAATCAAATTTCGTTTCTGTGCAAGATCAGTGCGATGACGAGGTTAATAATTCACCACTCTGCAGATTGAGTCTGATTCGTTTTAAATTTAAATTTTAAATATCATTGGTTATAAATTTTACTTTAGAGGTAAATTTTATATGAAATATTAAACATATATTTCTAGTATAATTATTTTGACTTATGATGAAAACGATCCCTTTTTTTTTTTAATCATTCCCAGCAAATGTTCATCCAATTTTAGTTAATTTTAAAATTCATTAAAAAAATATTGTACATTATTTGATTTGACTTTTAATTTATTAAAATGGTAAAAAAGTGTGGCTATCATAATGTTTGGGAAAAATCCCACTATCTGTGACAATAAAAAATCACAGAACCGACAGGAGCACAAACACAAGATGATACACAATAGCCCAAAAATAAATATCAAACACAAGAACACACGATTTACGTGGAAAACCCCAAATCGGGGAAAAAACCACGGGACCACCACCAACCAAATAATCTACTATAATAAATCTTGGGTACAAAGTTTCAGGCTACCACACGAGCCAAACATCCACAAATCATCAAATGTAATAATTCTAGGCCAAAGACTTCTATTATATTCCACAGGCCTAAACAGAATACCAACTCGTACTTAAAATATTCAACCACCACAAGCAAGATGAAAAGAATACAAATAGTACGAGAATACCCAAAAGATGCCTGGAACAAACAAGCTGACCTCCAATAATATTTGATGAAAAAACCACCCAAGAAGTTAGACAAACTCACGGCTAAAATTCATCACTTGAGTCAAGGATGAAGAAACAAGCTGAAGAAGCTTCACTGCCGCCGAACTGTCCTCTCTCACGTTTTTAATCTTTGTCTTGCATTCACCAACCAAAACAATTCACATATATTACATTATATATATATAATGGAGAATGAACCAAAAAAAGGAGAAGTTTCCTTTTCACAACTTTGGTAAGCAAACTGCCGCACCATTCCATAATTCATCCATATATTCCTAATTAAATATTATTATATTATATAAATATAATAATAATAATTAGGGCTCAATATGAGAGAAAGTCCAACAAAATATAGTGGATACAAATTGGCTTGGTCCAAACATGAGCTATTTACCACATAGGAGGGAAGCCCAACCCAACAAATCTCCCCCTCCCGACTATGTGGAAGATATCGCCATCCCGGCGATAGAGCAACAATCCTCAAACTTCCCTCTCGGCAATGCTTTAGTCATCATGTCAGACCCATTATCATCAGTATGAATCTTTTCAAGTTCAAGCATCTTGCACTCCAAGATATCTCTAATCCAACGATATCTCGTGTCAATATGTTTTGACCTGTAATGGAACGTGGAGTTCTTTGCAAGATGAACTGCACTTTGACTATCACAATAGAGCACATACCTGTCTTGAACAAACCCGAGCTCTTGAACAAACTTCTTCATCCATAACATTTCTTTACTGGCTTCAACAGATGCTATGAATTCAGGTTCAGTGGTAGACAAAGCAACACACTTTTGCAATCTTGATTGCCATGAAACTGCTCCCCCTGCATAGTTAATTAGATAACCTGAAGTAGATTTCCTGGTGTCAATGTCCCCGGCCATATTTGAATCAGTGTACCCGACAAGAATAGGTTTCTCTGTACCGAAACACAAACTCAGACTTGAAGTACCCCGAAGATATCTCAGAACCCACTTCACAGCATCCCAATGTTCTCTCCCTGGATTTGAGAGAAATCTGCTAACAACACCCACTGCATGAGCAATATCTGGTCTCGTACATACCATGGCATACATCAAACTACCAACAACTGAAGAATAGGGAACTCTTTGCATTTCTTCATTCTCTTTCTCACTAGAGGCACATTGCTTCTTACTTAACTTGAAATGCATACCAAGAGGTGTATTCACTGGCTTAGCTTTATCCATATTAAATCTCTCAAGTACTTTCTCTATATACAACTTCTTGTTCTGCCTGTCACGAATGATCTTCATCCCAAGAATTTGCTTTGCTGGTCCCATGTCCTTCATAGAAAAAGACTTACTCAACTCTTGTTTCAACTGTTGAATTCTTGAAACATTGCGACCAACAATCAACATATCATCAACAGAAAGCAACAATATAACAAAGTCATCATCAGAGAATCTGTTTACAAAAACACAGTGGTCTGAAGAAGTCTTCTTGTACCCATGCTTACTCATAACGGAAGTAAACTTTTTATACCACTGCCTCGGAGCTTGCTTCAATCCATACAAACTCTACTTTAATCTGCAAACATAATCCTCCTTCCCTTTGACTTCGAATCCCTCAGGTTGCTCCATATATATCTCCTCATCTAAATCACCATGGAGAAAAGTTGTCTTTACATCCATCTGCTCAATTTCTAAATCCAAACGAGCTGCTAGGCCCAACACAACTCTAATGGATGAAAATTTCACAACAGGAGAGAAAATTTCATCAAAATCAATACCTTTCTTCTGGCTAAAACCTTTCACCACCAGTCGAGCTTTGAATCGTGGAACTGAAGTGCCCTCTTCATGTTTCAATCTGTAGACCCACCTGTTCTTTGGTGCCCTTACCAACTCAAAGGTATCATTTGCATATAGGGAATTCATCTCATCCTGCATAGCCTCAAGCCATTGTTTCTTTTGCTCACTCTCCATAGCTTCTTCATAGAACTCAGGTTCTCCCCCATCAGTTAATAGCACATACTGACTGGAAGAGTAACGAGTAGATGGTCTCCGTTCCCTGTTAGACCTTCTAGGAGGATCAACTGGAACCTGCGAAGGAACTTCTTGTTCCTGATGCACAACATCATCAACATGACCATCCACATCAGCTGTATCATCCTGATTGTCTGGTACAAGATCACCGTTCTGGCCATTCTCTTGAACCTCATCAACATCATGTGTATCTTCGCTGGAAATTGGCTCACAGTCAACCAAACTTCCGCTGTCTTGAGATTCTGGTTTTCTCACTTTGTCAACACCTTCAATGGTTTGATCTTCAAAGAACACTACATCACGGCTTCTCACAAGTTTCTTCTCAACTGGATCATAAAGCTTGTAGCCAAATTCATCAAGACCATAACCAATGAAAATGCAATGTCTAGTCTTCGAGTCCAACTTAGATCTTTCATCTCTTGGGACATGCACAAATGCCTTACAACCGAAGACTCTGAGGTGATCATAAGAAACTTCCTTTCCACACCAAACCTTATCAGGAACTTCATTATTCAAAGCAATAACGGGGGAGATAAGTTGATAACATGAACAGTTGTGGAAACTGCCTCTGCCCAAAAAGAACTAGGCAACTTTGCGTCATCAAGCATACATCTGACTCTCTCCATAATTGTTCGATTCATCCTCTTTGCTAAGCCATTTAATTGAGGAGTTTTAGGAGGAGTTTTCTGATGTCTAATACTGTGCATTCTGCAATACTCATCAAATGGGCCACGGTACTCACCGCCATTATCAGTACGGATGCACTTCAATTTCTTCCCTGTCTGTCTCTCAACAAGGGCATGAAACTCTTTAAACACACCAAACACATCACTTTTGTGCTTCAAAGTGTAAACCCAGAGTTTCCTAGAATAATCATCAATGAAGGTCACAAAGTAAAGATGCACCTCCAAGTGATCTAACCTTCATTGGTCCACACACATCAGAATGTATCAACTCAAGTGGCTCCGGCTTCTTCGAAGGAGAGTTGCTCATAAAAGAAACTCTTTTCTGTTTCCCTGCCAGGCAATGAACACATCTGTCCAATCTAGCCTCCTTTACTCCTGAAAGCTTCTTCTTCTTGGCAAGGTAATCAATCCCCTTCACACTCATGTGGCCAAGTCGTTTATGCCACAATTCTGATGCACATTCTTTTGCTGCCACATTCACTGAATCACCAGAAATAGAGCTTTGTAAAGAGTACAAGTTAGAAGACTTGTTACCTCGTGCAATAACCAGCGAGCCTTTAGTGATTTTCCAATGTCCATCACCAAAGAAACAACAGAAACCATCATCATCGAGTTTTCCTGTAGAAATGAGATTCAGTCTGATACCCGGTGCATGCTTTACATTTTTAAGTTCCAGCTTTGTGCCATTGCTGGTTTCAAGACAAACTGTACCGGTACCAATCACCTTCACCTGACCATCATCACCCATTCTTAGCTCTCCAAAATCACCTGGAGTATATGAAGTAAAGAATTCCTTCCTTGGTGTAACATGGTAAGATGCGCCTGAATCTAAAATCCAAGTTGTCTCATGGCATGCAACGTTGACGGCGTTCTCATCACAAGCAAGAAGCAAATCTGCTCTAACTGTTGCAACCTGGTTCTCTGTGTGATCATCTTTCTTGTCTTGCTTCTGTTCCCTTTTCAACTTGAAGCAATTTTTCTTGATGTGACCCTTCTTGCCACAATGATAACATTCAACATCCTTGTGCCATGACCTTGACTTACTTCTGCTTTTATCTCTACCCTTCTGACCCCTTTGTTTGTTTCTCCCCCTATCATTTGTAACCAAAATATCTGACTGAGAAGTGGAGGTGTCTTGAGATCTTCTTCTTGACTCTTCATTCAAGATACCACTCTTGACATACTCCATGGTCACAACACCGTTGGGAGCAGAATTGGTCAAATAAACCCAAAGTGTTTCCCAAGAATCAGGTAGAGTGTTAAGCAACCAGAGACCAAGTACCTCATCCTCAAATTTGATGCCCATGCTAGACAACTGATCAAGAACACCCTGAAAATCATTGGCATGATCATTGATCAATGTACCTTCCCTGAATCTTAGATTCATCAATTGTTTTAGCAAAAACAATTTGTTATTGCCTGTCTTGGAAGCATACAGGGTCTCAAGTTTATCCCACAGGCTTCTGGCATGTGTCTCGTTGATAATGTGATTCATAACATTATCTTCAACCCATTGGCGAATATAACCACAAACTTGTTGGTGCTCAAAGTCCCACTCTTCGTCTGACATGCTTTCTGACTTTGCAGTTGCAAACACAGGTAGATGTAATTTCTTCACAAACAGAAGATCATTCATCTTGGCCTTCCAAATGTGATAATTTCTACCATTCAATCGTACCATATTACTCATATTTGTCTCCATGTCAAATGTACCCAATCAACAACCTGGGCTCTGATACCACTTTGTTGGGAAAAATCCCACTACCTGTGACAATGAAAAATCACAGAACCGACAGGAGCACAAACACAAGATGATACACAATAGCCCAAAAATAAATATCAAACACAAGAACACACGATTTACGTGGAAAACCCCAAATCGGGGAAAAAACCACGGGACCACCACCAACCAAATAATCCACTATAATAAATCTTGGGTACAAAGTTTCAGGCTACCACACGAGCCAAACATCCACAAATCATCAAATGTAATAATTCTAGGCCAAAGACTTCTATTATATTCCACAGGCCTAAACAGAATACCAACTCGTACTTAAAATATTCAACCACCACAAGCAAGATGAAAAGAATACAAATAGTACGAGAATACCCAAAAGATGCCTGGAACAAATAAGCTGACCTCCAATAATATTTGATGAAGAAACCACTCAAGAAGTTAGACAAACTCACGACTAAAATTCATCACTTGAGTCAAGGATGAAGAAACAAGCTGAAGAGGCTTCACTGCCGCCGAACTGCCCTCTCTCACGTTTTTAATCTTTGTCTTGCATTCACCAACCAAAACAATTCACATATATTACATTATATATATAATGGAGAATGAACCAAAAAAAGGAGAAGTTTCCTTTTCACAACTTTGGTAAACAAACTACCGCACCATTCCATAATTCATCCATATATTCTTAATTAAATATTATTATATTATATAAATATAATAATAATAATTAGGGCTCAATATGAGAGAAAGTCCAACAAAATATAGTGGATACAAATTGGCTTGGTCCAAACATGAGCTATTTACCACATATGAGGGAAGCCCAACCCAACACATAAAAGTAGGCCTTGATGATCTGGGTTAAAATGAATAAGTCCAGGGTGAATAGAATTATAAAGATTTTGAAAATTTTTAAATCTTTTGTCAAAAATTTAATTGATCAAATATAATAATAGATTGATTTCAAGAGTTAATCTCTCAACAATACACAACCGCAAATATATTTAGACTAGATTTTTTTAGTACATTATTTAGACTAGATAATCAAGCTTCTCTACCCCATTGATGAGCACTCGTTATATTATAGACCGCGGTGCATGTGCACCGCGGTAAAAAACGACGTCGTTTCTTTAAGTAAAGAAATGGCCCGCCGTTAGAGTTACGGAGTCTGCTTGTTTGGTGTATTAAACACTAACTGACACTACAGTATATCCAAACCGACACTGCAGTTATATCAAAATGATACTGTAGTTATAGTGAAATGAAATTGCAGTGTATATAAACTGAAACTGAATTACATTTCATATATTTGAGTGTATATTGTACAATGAAGCTGTAATTATATCAAAATGATCATGTAGTTGTGTTTTAATGAAACTATAGTGTATATAAAATAAAATTAAATAACATTTTCACATATTTGAGTCTATAAATATCGAAATGAAACTGTAGTTGTGTTCAACTGAAACTGCAATGTATACAAAATGACACTGAATAACAGAGTTACTTTTTGCAAAAGGGTGCGAAACGGCGGAAACAAACACTGTTTATTTTCATTTAAAAAAAAGACGCGCGGTGCATAATCGATTATGCACCGCGGTGCATAATATAATTTGCCATTGATGAGTACTAGGAGCATCCAACGGCTAAAAAGTGTTGTTTCAGTGACTCGTGCATCATTTGTGTTTCGTTCGTGCGTGCGTGCATATGTGCATGGTGTGTTTTTATATAGTACCATCATATTATTTTAGATTTTAGAATTTGTTCACATGCAATAATAGTAATTTTTGTGCGGAGTATATCATAGTCATTATGAGTTGTCAATAATTATTTTATAAAGTTACAAAAAAAAATGTAATGAACATTACATATTTGGCCACTGTATTGGATCCATCTCACTATTCACACCAATTGTGTACATACTTAAAAGTATCTTGACCAACAAACTACAAAAAATCAGTCATTTAGCAACAAAATATTAGCGGCGATTTGTTATAACCACCACTAAATAAGTGTTTAGCGGTAATTATATAAACCGTCACTAAAAATAAGTGTCTCTTCTTATAAAATTCTCTTTGTATGATGTATATATCCTCCTTTCTCCTCAGCTAAATCACTAAAAAGTCAATCTCTTATCCCGTCTCTCCTTCTTCCCTTGATGCAAATCCCAAAAATCTCTGAGACATAGCGATAGCAGAATTCGCCAACAATTTCTTCGCACTCAGCCCAATCGCCGGATTCGTCATCGATCTTTGTACAGCAAGTCACGGTCGTCGCCGTTGTCACCGCTGCGGCCTCCATTGTCGTCATCGGCAAAGGTCGCCGCTGTGCCCTCAGCTCCGATCCGTAGTCATTGTTCGCAAGTCCAAGGTAATTAAGTGCTATATTATTCATATTTGATATTTTATTTATAACTATTTGAGTTTTGAATTTTTTGTAACTATTGCTTTGATCTTTTGGAGGTAGAGAATGCAATTCTTCTTTCCAAAAGGTTAAATCCCCAACCTCAAGGGCCCCCCACACCCCGGCCCGACAGAGCATCTGGGAGGATGTAAGAGAATGCAATTCTTAATCTCGGTATTTGAGGGGAGAATAGAGGATTTGTTTAATACTCCTTCAACTTCCAGCGATCAGGCTCTAAGAAGTGCCTTCACCGATTATTTCTTATTGATGGATTTAATTAACCCGGGGTGAACCCGAATCAATAAATCCGGATAAGAACGTAATATAAATAATATATAAATAAACGAAACGATGTCGTAAGGCCGTGAGACCGTATATTGTATTAAATGCCGTAAATTGGCTATTACAATGTTTCTCAGGACAAATTGTGTGTAATAGATGTAGAATGTAGATAGAATATAATGCACTTTGTTAGGACAAGGAGGGGGGTTTTTATACAAGCTAAACCCCCCAACCGCCTCCCCCTAAATCGGGGGTGGTTAGATCACTACTTTGACCGGGCCCGGGTGGACAGGGTCGGGTCGGGTCCCGAGCTCGGGTGGTACCGAGCTCCCCTACCCGAGCCTGCTATGGGCCGAGCTCGGGTAGGGTCGTGCCATCCGACTCGAGCCCCATGTAGCTCGGCTCGGTGATGGACAATTTTAATATAATGTCCTCGCAAGTGCACGAGTCGGTTGTAGTGAGAGTGTGCAACAGCAAGGGTCGAACCCACAGAGAATCGATACAATGCAATTTAATGACTTTGAAAGTAATTGACTTCAATGTTGCCTGAGTGCATTGCGGAGCTGCTAAGGAGGGACAGGGTGCTCTTCACTGCTGACACCTTCGCTTAGGCTCGCTGGGTTCACCCAGCCCCCTTCATTCCAAAAAAAAAAAAAAGTAATTGACTTCATAATTTAAAGTGCTCAGAATTAATCAACAACTGAAATTAATTAAATTGAATGAAAAAGCAGGTAAAAAAATAAGTAAGCAAGACAATTGACGAAACAAAATATAGCATGAAATAAAGACTAAAAACATTAATCAAATGGCCAAATTCAATACAACTAATCGCAATTTAAATTCATAGAATAGAACTTACATGAATGGCAAATTACAGACTTAGAAATTAGCAAAGCATAAATGAATTAGGAGCAACTGTCTCATGCAATTTCATCTTACAAAGACTAAACATAAAATAAATTAGCAAAGAAGAAAAACAAGGATTAAAGAATTACCGTAAGAGAAATTGCCTAAGCCAAATGAAATTGAAATATACTAACAAATTATGTGAATTGAAATTGAGATCATACAGCTGTTATATTATAGACCGTGGTGCATAATCGATTATGCACCGCGGCCCATAAACGACGCCGTTTCATTAATTAAATGAAACGGCGCCTTTTAACGCTGTCGATTACTTTCAGCGCGTTGTTTCCTTTTTTTTTTTTTTTTTTTTTTTTTAAAATCAATATAAAAACGAAAAAGGGAAGTCTTGTCGTCACTTTCTTCTCGAACAACCCACACTTACCATCAGCACTCTCTCCAAGCTTAGACTTCAACCGCCATTTTTTACCTCTCGTCTCCATCGCTATTCTTCTTCGTATTTCTGCATATTTCAGTTTCAACGAGAAGGTAATAATACTATTGTATATAATGCGATGTTATATTTACCTACAAAGAAAAATATGTTCTACAGTACATACATTCTATGTTTTTTTTTTTCAAACATTCCGAAAGCAACATTCAAATTTTGCATCACAAACATGCATTGAGAAACTATAATGCATTTAATATTACTGTAAACCCTAAATAAGAAACACATGCAGTCAACAAAACTATAATATTACTGTAAACCCTAAATAAGAA